AGTCAAACATAACTCAACTCATTTAACTAATTGTATCGTGTCGAGTTACGAGTTGACTTGTTTATTTTGGTGTTATGTTCGTGTTCGTATTCGTATTCGTATTCGTGTTGACCCACATAAACTTTGAATAAAAAATTTAATCAAGTTTGTGTCATAAAATTCGTATCGAATTCGAGTCATATTATCATGTTTAGTTGAAAATTTTCACCCCTAGCTAATATGGAAAAAAATATTTTTTTTTAATTTTAAAATTTTAATTTATTATTATTTTTGTTAAATTTATTATTAAAATTTTTTAACAAATATATATAAATACATGTTTTATCATTAAATTTTTATATGAAATTAATGTATACATAATATATGTATATATCAAAAGATATATAGACAAATAAGATACATCTTAACATAAATTATTAACTTTTCATTTACTTTCTTTCCGATTTTGGTGAGTTAGAAGGAAAATTAATACATTCATTTTTCCATCTTTTCTATTTTTCTTCCTTACCAAACATGATATTTTATTTATCCATCAAACTTTCTATTATTTTAATTTTTCATCTTTTTATTTTTCCATCATATCAAACGGAACATTTATAATTTGTCTTTGTTGCGTGCAATTTTATATTGGTGTAACTTCAAAAATAGTATGCTATAACCACACTCTTTATTGGGTAGTAGCTTCAATACGTGCCCTAAAAAATACTTTTGACATTCGTTGTGTCATCCTAAAATGCAAGAAATAAAGTAAGCAACACCATTACTATTAAAGTTTAGCATTAAAGATTGGGTCACTTAACAAATCATGTGCTATGCATCGACTTTTTTGATCTTTGAGTGCTATGCATTGACTTGAACAGAACATTCCCCCCATACTTGTGTATCTGATTTGGTAACTGATTTTAAAAGCTTATTTATTAGGAGTTGTCTACAGTATCGAAAAAATAAATTTTGGTATAGTATTAACTTTTATTATATTTGTGGGTATTTTTATTACAGTTATGTTATCCAAAAAAAATAATTAAAATAGTTATCACAACAGTAATAAAAACACTGACAAAAAAAGTAGTTTTTTTTTTCTACCAAAGAAAAGTGGGAAAAATAGTTGTCAAAGTGAGAAATTTTTGAAAAGAGACGCATTAAAATAATAAATTTTGGAGGTATAGTACTGAATTTTTTTTTGTCGGTACCTTAGTCAAATCCGTTTATTGAGGGTTTCATTTATGATTTAAAAATATAGCCAAATAAGTCTTATACTCATAAATATATGATTATAATGTACATAATTTGATTTATAAATAGCCAAAATGTATTGCATTACTAATAAACTTATAATTATCACATACCATATTATGATGGGATTTTCTATTATAATTTAGAAAATAGCCAAACAAATCATGTGAATATATCTATAAATATAAGTACCGTGCACATAATCTTACCATATTGTGATGGGTTTTTTAGGTTATGCTTTTATAAATAAGTACCATATTGTGATGGGTAAATAGCCAAAACGTAGTGTATTACTATTAAACTTATAATTACCACATACCATATTATGATGGGATTTTCTATTATGATTTAGAAAATAGCCAAACAGATCATGTGAATATATCTATAAATATAAGTACCATGCACATAATCTTTACCATATTGTGATGGGTTTTTTAGGTTGTGCTTTTATAAATGGTCAAACATAGCATTATTCATAATGCTTTTATAAATAGTCAAACATAGCATTATTCATATAAATGTGTAGTTATTACAAGCCTGGCCTTAGAGGAATTCTAAAAGGCTAGCTAAAACCCTTTTTTTTAGTTATTTTAGATAACTTTTCTCTAAAATGTGGCTCCAACAAACTAGCTATTCCCGTATTTATTTTCCATAACCCCTTTTTTACTTGCTCCATCTAGCTAGCCAGTCTCTCCCTCGCTCCATCCTCCTCCTCTTCGAGTCTCAAAGACTCTCGCCTTTCTCCGCCTCTCCATCAATTGAACTCGAAGACACAAGCCAGTGAAACCACAAGCACCCTGAAATCTTTTACTGTTGCCTCCAGACCTAAATCCCAAATCAAGCCACAAAACCTAAATCCCAAATCAATCGATCAAACTCAAAGCCTTCAGACAGAGCATCTTCTTTCACTTAGACAATCGATCGAAGTCGAAGCCTTCAGAGCTGCTTTAAAGTCGAAGGCACAAGCCTTCAGAGCCACAACGCCACCACCATAGCACTATCTTGGTATGCAATCTCTCTCTCATTCTCTCTTTGTCTACTAGTTGCTACCGAACCACAGCCACTCAGACCCAAATCAACAATCCTATCCATCGCCCACTGCATATATGCATAGCCAGCACCACACACGACACATCCACTGTCCCCGTTGCCTCCATCCCTTTTATATGTATGATTTCAAAGTGTTTGATGGTTTGCTTCTGGAAAAAAAAATACAAGCTCAATTCGTAACTTTGACAAACATAGCCTAGGAATTTTCAATTCTTGGTGGTTTTAAGAATTGAGTTTTTGATTTTGCTATCAAGAAAATATGTGAATTTCCTTTTTAACAAATTATTAATCCCTTAGTGCCCACCCATCTAAAGGATTCCAATAATTTTAGGGTACATGATGAATTGAGTTTTTGATCTAGCAGTAATTTGACATTCAATTGTTGGGTTCTATGAGTTGTTCATGCTTTTTTTATTGATGAGTTCATTTCTATTTTTGTATAAGTTTTTGGTAGATTGTCTATCATCTGCATTTGAGGCATACGACATAGTATTTTAAATTTTAATAATTAATAGTTAGTTATAATTAGTTGAAGTGGTTAACTAAAATAGATAGCGTTGTTAGAGTGAATTTGAAAAAATGGTTAGTTAAAATAGAAAGTATAATATTTAAATATATTTTGAATAACTATTTTAGATAGCATTGTTGGAGTTACTCAGTGTTAAATACGTTATGAACAAAGTCAACCACTCTATGAAATTGGATTCACATCATTCAAATAGAATTTTTTTTTTCTAAATGTTTTTGGATGATTACCAATATACCACCATATAATAGTGGGTCCTACTTATTTATTACAAGTACCACAAGAAAGAAAAACTCAATTAGATTTCCTCTAATCAACTTCTATTAGCTCAATTTAACATCTACGATTCTTAATACGACCACCCAATTTGACACAACAAACGAAATTAACAAGCATGAGTATAATTTTAATGGATTCGAGTCATAAACGAGTAGAGCGGGACATTCCAATATGGTTAAACAATACATGTATATGACATGAACCTCACAAGACATAAATTAGAAAATACAGTAAGTAAATTAGGCATGAAAGTAAAATTTTCTAAACAAGATACGATCTACACAATTTAAAAAAAAAAAAAACAATAGAACCATCTTACTGCCCTAGCCTCACACGAGTTTATGATACACAATTGAGAGAAATTATATACACAAAGGACAGATTCATATCCAACAAAACAAATCCAGATCCATTGAAGAACAAACCGTATTTTTTGAACTGAATTCTCTCAAAAAAAATCAAACAAAGGGTGGAATTTTCTATGTAGATTTTGTAAATCATAATGTATTGAATAAATAACACACACAATTGCCTTGAACAACATTAATACATTGTTATATGTTGTCTTAATAGATCCCCATAACCAACAAATAGTCCAAAAAAGGAATCTACTCGCGGGTTAACCTTTATTACATGCTCTCACAAGTATACAAACTATGCCAAACACATCTTTGGTACCTTCTCTTTAATTTAAGAAAATTGTATTTATGGTCCCTTATTTTTGTCAAATTACAAAAACACCTCCTCATAAATATGATAAATTTCAAAAAAGAACACTCCTTATTATTTTGAAGTGGATGCCCTTATTTGCTTTTTTTTTTTTCTTCATGTTTGTAGCTAACCCCACCCAAGGACATAGTTTATGTGTCGGGAAATCGTTTCGAACGTAACGAGTCTTACTTTAATTAATGAGTAATAACATCGAATTTAGAATTAAAAATTTCAAAGAATCATTATTATTATAGTAGATTTGGATATCTCAGATTATGTCCTTCGTCAAGACTTACGAAGGTTACAAAAAAGACGTCATTTATTAATTTTAATAAAATTTGTCACTAAAATATCCATTCGTGTATTAATTACAAAACACATCCCGATAAATATGTCAAATTTCAAAAGAACACTCCCTCTTGACTTCTCTTTTGCAGTTAACCCCACCGAGCTCATGGGTTAGAAAAATTTAACAATGGAGGTTTAAAATTGTACCAGCATTGGGACAAATTGTTTTCCTTTTTTTGGTTTAACAGCCAAGAGTGTTTGGATCAACTAAAATGTACTTCGATTAATTCAAATTATTTTTTCACTAGTTCATGCAATTAGTTCTAAACCAATAATAAATGGAGGTTGTTTTTTGTTCTTGATACACCTCGACAAGGGTAGTTGTTAGAAAAACTTATTCCAATGTATAGTGGAAGTCAGTGTGATTTCAAAATACAGTAATGGGCCAGTGAAAAATATTAGAAACAGAAAGGGATCAAATTACAATTTTTCTATTTTCTATTATCAAAATCCTTTTTATTTTTTTCTGTGTTTGGGTCAGATTTTCCAAATCCGTTTAGAAGATTGTTTTTGCATTTTGAATTCAATTGAAAAACAAATAGTAACGAAGCAACCGACATGAAAGCCTTCAACACCAGCTCTGTTTCTCCCTCTTCTCCCCTCCCTCCCCCACCACAACTTTTCTCTCTCTATATCTATATATTCTGTGTCATTGTATCTTTTTGTGTTGATTACCTAACTTTTCTCTACCTCTCTTTCTTAGTTAAGAGTTGGGTTTTGCAAAATTCAGTTTAAATTTTGTCAGAAACCCATTCTTCCTCTCTGTATCTCTCCAGAAACATCTGTTCATGATTATAAGGGGTTGGGTTGAGTTGAGGTTAAATTTTTGCTTTTTCAGGGTTTTGTTGAGGAGATGAAGAGAGCAAAGTTGGATTTGTTCGTGTCCCTGAGTCGAAAAAGGTCGATTCAAATTCTGATATGTGTGGGTCTTTTGTATATACTCTTGGTGAGTTTAGAAGTACCCTTTGTGTTCAAAGCTGGGTTCAGTGCAGTCACTCCAGACGGCTTCAATGACCCATTGTCTAAGCCTTTTGCGCTCGAAAGCGAAGAGGAATTGGCCAGAAAAGAAGCCCCAATTCGACCCTTAAAGAACCCCTTTAGGGTTCCAAATCAATCACCAAAATCCAGACCCGAGAGAAGAATTAGGGAGTATAAAATCCTATCTAGTTTGGATGTCGATGGAAGCATTGTAAATATTACTGGAAAAGATGGGTTTTCAGGGATTCTGAAGCATGCAAAGGAGGCTTTTGAACTGGGGAAGAAGCTTTGGGAGGAGCTTGAACTGGGTTCCGATGATCAAAACTCCGACAGGAAGGTGGAGAATAGGACTGAGTCATGCCCACATTCGATTTCAATGTCAGGGACTGAGTTTTGGGAGAAAAATAGAATGATGGTGTTGCCATGTGGGTTGACATTGGGATCACATATAACAGTGGTGGGGAAGCCGAAGAAGGCGCATCCGGAGCAGGACCCCAAGATATCTTTGTTGAAAGAAGGTCAGCAAGCGATGGTTTCACAGTTTATGATGGAATTGCAGGGGTTGAAGACTGTGGATGGAGAAGACCCACCAAGGATTTTACATTATAATCCTAGGTTAAAAGGGGATTGGAGTGGGAAGCCTGTAATTGAGCAGAACACTTGCTATAGGATGCAGTGGGGATTGGCGCATCGGTGCGAAGGGTGGAAATCTAAAGCTGATGAGGAAAATGGTGAGTGAATTATCGAGCTGAGTACTTCCTGATAATATCCATATGGGAATTATTACTTGCTTCATTCTTGATTGTTTTTGTTACTATCTGCCTTAACAATTGGTGCAGTAGATTTAATTTCGTGTAGGTAAATGAAATTTATACAGATAATTAGAAGGTCTTTACCAAAGGAAAACACATGGTTGTAGCTCAGTTTAACCAAACTTGCTGGTTTTGAGGATTTGTGTATGTAACTGGACTAAAAATCAATGGGCTGAAAAACTTGCCCTGGTCTTTCTCTTCTCTAGAATGGTAAGCTGAAGTGAAAAATATTTATGTGATGGAGTCTATGAAACACGGATACTTCGTTTAGGTCGGCATATACATATCGAATATTGTGTTAGATACGATATTTGAGGATAAGTATCGAATCCTCTTCCTACGTATTGGATAATAATAAAATATTCGGATACGTCGTAGATACTTTTGTATCAAAAGAATAGATATATAATTTTTAATTTAATCTTTAACATCTTTTGAATTCACGTATCATATAATACATCAACAAAAAATCAAACTATTTTGAAGAGATATGAGGGTTTTTAAGTATTATCTACTACTCTTACATGTGATAAAAGAGTCTAAAATGAATTCATTACATTATAATCTTAGCAACAAATACTTCTAAACAAACCAAGTAAGTAAATATTAATTTTGATTCCTTTAGTTAGTCATTTCATTTTGTGAATATACGATAATGATACGATATTTACTTTTTTAAAATTAAAAAAATTGCTAGTTTTCTTTATTATGTTAAAGAATTACCAAAATATATAATTATTAAATTAGTATATAATAGTAAAAAGATAAAATATATTTTATTATAGACGTATTGTAGTTGTATCCGTATCCTATTTTTTAAAATTTTATCGTATCACCATATCATACCGCACCCGTATCTCGCATCCATACTTCATAGGACAGAGTGATCTATCAATCCTAACTGGCTTCTGAGATCAGGGAAGTGAAAACAGGTGAATTCTAGGTTTTGCAAGTTACAACTAATTGGGTGTCATATTTTGTATGATTTGCAGTATAAATTTATCTTGCTTTTCCTGTATCTTGCTGCCCTTATTGGCTGCAAAAGAATAGAACAAAAAAAATTTTTGTGAGTTATTCTCTTGTTGTTTTTGGGATTTTCCATTGTTATAGTTTTTGGTTATGGCACTTTGTCTTGTCTATTCTTGCTGTGGAACTGCCCTCTTGAATTAGCTATCTGGACTTTTGTGCAGTTGATGATCATGTGAAATGTGAGAAGTGGATCCGAGATGATGATGATCACTCTGAGTCATCAAAAGTGACATGGTGGTTGAACCGGTTAATTGGCAGAACAAAGAAGGTCACTTTTGATTGGCCATTCCCATTTGCAGAGGAAAAGCTATTTGTCCTAACTCTTAGTGCTGGCTTAGAGGGTTATCATATCTATGTTGATGGGAGGCATGTCACCTCATTTCCTTACCGCACGGTTAGTAATCCCACGATCTTTATTTGTTGACAGATGTGGAGAGTTCTTTAGTTTGTTCCTTATTTTTAACAGGGATTTGCGCTTGAGGATGCCACTGGATTATCTTTGAATGGAGACCTTGATGTCCATTCCATATTTGCTGCTTCCTTGCCTACATCACATCCTAATTTTTCTCCTCAAAGACATCTTGATATGTCAACTGAATGGAAGGCACCGCCGCTTCCAAATGGGCCTGTCGAACTCTTCATTGGTATTCTTTCAGCCGGCAACCATTTTGCTGAGCGGATGGCTGTAAGAATGTCTTGGATGCGGCATAAACTTGTCCAATCATCGAATGTTGTGGCTCGTTTCTTTGTAGCTTTGGTAGGTGAAAATACTGGTGGTATCTGCATTAAAATGGTTTTTAACTTTTTTTCCTCTTGGAAATTTTT